AGCCAACATACCACAGCAACATATTTTGAGGTTGCATGTTCTGAACTTCTGCAATAGACATGACTTATTCAACAGAATGATATGCACAAGGCAGTTCAGTATTTTGGCGAATTTGTTGTGATATATATAATCTCGGATTCTGGGGGCATGTAGAATCGGGTTTAAAATGTACCCCCTTCTCTTGCTAGCTGTCAGGGCATGTCATTTGTGCCTCGAGTGCGGGGTGGTCAGCATCTGCAGAGCGAGGATGACGATGGTGCTGCCCTCTCAGGGCCGTGGTGGGGATTGCGGGAAGTAGTATGACCGGCACATGCAATGCACACAAGGGGCAAACCAGCTGCTCCCCACGTCAGTGTGGGCTCGCTGCTGGCGGGCCACTGCCCTGTCTGTCAGAGGCTGTACGTCCTCAGTCTCCTGGAACGGCCATGTCACCGGGTCCATTGAGAGGACCACCCCTCTCCTCCATAGAACTGCCCTTGCACCTTTGCCAGAAATCAGCTGGGCCTATTCGTGTGGCCGTTTCTAGGTTTTCACATCTGTTCCACTGACCTGTGTGTGTGTGTCGCTCAGCCAGCGCGACACAGTTGTGATTGGGTAGCTAAGCCAGGACGTGGGCAGATTGATTCCTCCTACGTGTTTTTGAGATTGTTTTTTTCTTTTTTTGAAATTTGTTTTTTAGAGATTGGCTTTGGATTGTTTTAGACATTCTAGTTACTCTTCGATAGAATTTAAAAATAATCTCATCTATGTGTATGCGATGTCATGCTGGGATTTTGATAGGAATGATGCTAGATACTGCGTCAGCTTCAGGAGAACTGACGTCCTTACTCTGCTGAGTCTTCCGAGCCACACACACCGCCTCACTCTCCGTTCATCCGGTCTTCTCACCACCATCCTGCAGTCTTCATGCCCGAGTCCTGGCAATGGTTTGTTAGGTTTACAGCTAGCAGTTTTTTTTCTCTTTGAGTGATCATAGATGTAGCTATGTGTTGTAGCTCTAATTTCAGTGCTCACACATACATCACTAGTATATAGATACGCAGTTGATTTTTAGATATCGAGCTAGTATCCTGCAACTTTGAAATCAGTTGTTACTTCCAGAATACTTTTACGGTTTTTAAGGACCTTCTGTATGGACAGTTGTGCCATGGGCAAACAGAGACAGTTCCATTTCTTCTCCCGCCCCTGCCCTCCCCTTCCGCTCCCATTGCCCCGGCCTCACCTTCCAGCACCGTGTTGAGTGAGAGCACAAAGATGGGCGGTTTGCCTTTCAGCATGGGGCACAATGTTAGCTGTAATAATAATTATTATTACTTAATAGTAATATTTACTATTATTATTGGTAGGTGGCCTTTATGAAGTTCAGGAAGTTCCCTTTTATTCCTTTTAATTTCTTAGATTTTTTTTTTATCATGAACAGGTTTTGAATTTTTCCACATTGTTTCTGCATCAGGGTTATTTTGATTGATCTCAGCCTTTTCATGTAGCAGGTTATTCTGTGACTTTTTAAAACAATGAGCCAGGTTTGCATCCGTGAAATGCGCCTCACTTCGTCACGGTGTATCGTTCTTGTCATATATCGCTGAAATCTATTTGCTAATATTCTGTGTAGGATTTTTTGCCTCTTTATTCATGAGGGTTATTGATCTGTATTTTTACTTTTTGTATTGTCTGGTTTTGGTATTAGAGTAATACCAGTAATAGTAATGCTAGTTTCTTAAAATTAATTGGAATTGGAATTATCTTACCTATGTAAGTTTATATCCTATGTAAGTTTAATGTTTTTCTAACATTGTACTTTGATTTTTTCTGTGCAATTAAATAATTTTTTTATTTTTTTACATTTATTTAATTATTGTTCAAGTACAGTTTTGTGTCTTTTACTCCCATCCCAGCCCACCCCCCAGTGCTCCCCCCTCCCTCCCACTTCCACCCCCCTTAGTTATTGTCCATGTGTCCTTTATACTAGTTCCTGTAAATCCTTCCCTCCTTTCCCCTGAAATTCCCTCCCTTCTCCCCTTTTAATTTTTGAAAACATAATTTTGAAGTCTGAATAATAGTTAGCTGTAAGAATGTTCTCCTTTTAATCTAACCTTTTCTTATTTCATTAGAATTTTTAAAATTTTAATGATTGTTGTGGTTAGCATTTTTCTATATCAATCATTGCAAACATTTACCCTTAGAATAATTCAAGAAATGGAATTGTTATGTCAAATGATAGGAGCGTTCATAGTTTTTGACGAATCCCCCTACTTCCAGAGAGGGGGCTCCAGGGAACAGTTCTGCAGCCACGTGGGCAGGACCTGTGTGGGCGGGACCTGCAGCTGTGCGGGCGTGGCAGGACCCAGTTCAGGGAGTCTCTACCCGCTTCAGCAGGGCTTCCCTTTGGAAGAAAAATGAGTCTTTGTGTTGATGTGGCTGTGATGTTACTCAGCCTTCACTTGGTTACAGAGGTATTGTTACAGGAAAATGAAGCAGCCAGACACCGAGGGATTCTGGAGTACAAGGTTTATTAACCTGCACGGGCCCAGAGGATTCAGTCTCCAAATTCTGAGCCCCGGACAAAGGATTCTTGGGGTTTATATAGTCTACGGAGTCTTCCTGTCTACATAGCAAAGTGGGATACAGAAGCGGAATGCAGAAGTTAGTTCTAGCTACACGGCAGAAGCAGAGTACAAAGGCTAAATGCAGAAATTAGTTCTAACCACGGGGGTGCTAGTCCTAGCCCTTGTGAACATCCTGCTGTTTGCTTTCCCAAACGGCCCTATCGCTCTTCCTAGGGTGCTCGGGGTTTGGGTAAACAAAGGTTCTTCAAAGCTTCCCATATCATTCCCCCCTTTTATGCTAAACAACACTAGTGCTTGTTTTAGCATAACAATATTCTTCTTGTAGGAATAAACAGGTCCCCCCTTTGGATGCTTGACAGTGCTGTGGACTGCTCTAGCATCACTTTATGGTTATTCTTGTACGTCAGGGGGCTGTTGTAATATCTGATAACAGTATCACTGGAGGGACAGGATCCGGGCAGTTGCCCTGTGGGGAACTGTTGCTTCTAAGTTCTGGACTATGATCCGCAGGATACAGGGGCCGAAGCTTAAACCTAAGAAGGTAATAATTAGGGGTCCTAGAAAGGGAAATAGTTACTGGAGCCAGGCTTGAGGATTTATTCCTCAATTTCTCTAATTCTAACTTTCTGTTTCTTTAGTGCAGCAGTTTATATTCTCTCTGATTTCTTTAACTTTCTTAGCTATGATCTCTGACTGAGTTACGTAGTAGCAACATTCCTCTCCTAGGAACGTACAGGTTCCCCCTTTCCCTGGATTCAGAGTATTAATGAGGTTTCTTTCCCTTCTGGAATTATATACAGGACAATGGATGAAGGTCTCATCTTCTCGTAACTGCTTCTGGCTGGACATGGATGTCGTCCTACCTACCCTTGGGTCAGGGGTACCCTGAAAGAGGGGGGTTGCAGCACGGAGGGAGTCCTTCCTGCAAGGGGAAGGACCTTACAGGGTCCTGGTCAGTTGACTGTCACCAGGAAGTCGCAGGCTTGCATTACTAAAGGCTGGCATTACTGGACCATTGGCATCCTGGTCAGGTTGTATTCTGGAGGTGACAGATTAGGCAAGAAATTGGAAGCGCAATTAAATCATAACTATTAAATGGCAAAGGCAGGGACTTCGGTAAAGAATGGCTTATCTGGAGGAAGGTGTACAAGGCATGCTATAGCTATCCCAGACTCTTGTGGCTCACCATACTTTACTCGGGCTGAGGGAATACATTAAGATTTCCCTCCTTTCAGATTTCTGAGCCCTTTCTGTCCAAGCTATCAAGACAGAAAAGGGAAAATCAGTTCTAAAGTGAAACCCACAGACTGCCCTAACCCTTAATCAACTTAACTACTTAGTTGAATCAAACCGTTGAGTCTCAGGGGGGACGACAATGAAGATGGGCTCCTTAAGTGAGGCCTACATTGTAACTAATCATCCATAGGCACAGGCAGGTCATAGGCATACGCCCTATGAAAACAGAAGAACACACAGGTTACTTTACACAACAATCTCTAAACCAGTCTCTGCGCCTGTGAGACTGTCTTTTGGGAAGACATTCCATTGCAGTATCCTTTGAGAAACAGGCCTGTCCTTGGTTGTCATGAAGGCTGCAGTGAAAATAGCCCTGCTGGGCTGCAGTAGCAGTAATGCTGAACAAAAATGCACCCTCAGGTACTGAGACTTACTGGGGTGTTAGGTGAGCATCCGACGACCCAGAAAATGGTGTGTGTGTTTGTGTGTGAGTGTGTATGTGTGTGTGAGACTGAGAGAATTTTATTCTACTTAAAAAAAAAAAAGAAACTTAGAATGTTTTTACAGAAAATGAACGGTACCTCAAAAACCAGTCCCCGACTACAGACCCCGCAGACTCCCAGAGTCTCTGGTCTGTGGGATGAAGACCAAACCACTCACGCTGCTCTCCAGGGTCTCCATTCGTCTGGGTTCCATTTCTCTTCCTTTTCAGCATTTTTTTTCCTTTTTGACTTCTCATTTCTGTGAGAACATGTTCGCTTTTCCCCAGACTTGTGTGAAGTTTGTGCCTACCTCTTCAATTATAATTTGATTATTTCTTCTTCAAACTCTTCCTTTGCACTCATTATGTACTTAGTACTTTGGGATTTTATCTTTTTGTAATATTAATTTTAGCTGTTTGATTTTTATGTTCTCTATATCGCTGAACTTCAGAGCCCTATAGACAAAATAGTATCTTAAATGTTTCTTAATCTTTAGGATTCTCATGGGAATTCCTGAAGCACTTACTAAAGTAAATCAAAAGACAACATAACGCTCAATATTAGGGATTTAGTTTTCCTTGCAGAAATACGTTATTTCTTCGTATAGAGTGTGAGCAAAGTAAAGTAATTTGATGCAGAAAACTGATGTTGCTAAGCAACTGGAATGCCCCGGGAGTTGAAATGCACCTTTCACCCATGCATTCTGCATTTTCAGGGCTGCTGGGGAAGATCCTGATGGCGATCCGAGACGCGGGCTTTGAGATCTCAGCCATGCAGATGGTGCGTAGTTTGCGATGAGTCATCACCTACCGACTGGGGAGGGTGTTCTGCACAAGCTTTAAAAATGTGTGACACTGAATTTTCTCTGCGCACTCAGTGCATCAAAATACAAAAAAAAAAAAATACAGTTACTGAACTTGACAGTCTTACACTCAAGGAATGTTTTTGAAATTATTTGACCCATATACTGTTCCACTGAGAGAACTAATATAAGTAGTACACCTAATTTAAGCTTATATGGCAGGTTTATATGATTCTTGGAACTTTGCTTGCAAATATGGGCTAAAGTAATATATTTAGTTTTTACAAATGAAAAAAAGAATTAAGCCAGCCCTGGCTGGTGTGGCTCAGTGGCCTGAGCACTGGCCTGTGAACCGAAAGGTTGCAGTTCAATTCCCAGTCAGGGCACTTGCCTGGGTTGCGGGCCAGGTCCCCATTGGGGGGCGTGTGAGAGGCAACCAATCGATGTTTCTCTTTCTTCCTGCCTTCCCCTCCCTCCAAAAATAAATAAATAAAATCTCCTTCTTAAACAGTAGGATTAAGCTAAGTAGTTATAATGAACTTTCTCTTGCCTAGATTTGTGACTAAGAAGAGAAGGCAGGAAGAGAACCATTTCAACTTTTTTCCTGACCAGGGCCTTTTTCTAGATTTCCCTCCGGCATCTTTTTTGGGGCTCAACATCTCAGCCCCATGTGGGCGGATTGCCCCCACACAGTCCTTGGAAAGCGTTCACTGAAGCAACAGCACCCACTCCTGTGGGGCTCGTGCCTTTGTGCCCCACTTGCCAGGGTGTTTGACGGGAAGTCGGGTGCACATTGCTAGAGGAATCAGACGCGCGATGCGGGTTTTACAGTGTCCGAAGGCCAGTGTTCAAGTTCATGCTGTTAGGGTGGTGCAGTGCTGACTTTGGAGCTAATTGACTTTGGATCAGTTTGACTGGATCATCTTCTTCTGCAAAGCGTGTGTCTTCGATTTTTTTCTGTAGGCTCAGGATCACCCAAGAGCCCAGGTCAGGTGCTGAGTGGGGTTCCGCCTGCTTTGTGTCCCAGGTTGGTGGGAAGGCCCATAAGCCAATACATGGCCAGAATTTGGAGAGATTTGCAAAGTCTTCAAGCAAAACGTGGAGACAGATGAAAACGTTGATATTTGAAGAATCTTACCTGGATGGTAAAGAAATTGTGAGACAAGACTTTCTCAAAGTAGCAGCTTGGCAGTGGACCTGAGTCTGCTAAGAAAAAAATCAGGGTGGAAATTGCAGCTTTAGATGCTCTCCTGGGTCTGACTAGATCAGCCTGTGGCCTGGCTCAGCGGTTGGTCATGATAGGTGCTCAGGGACAACAAGCACAATTTTAAAAAAGGTTCATTGAACCTGTGGGGGAGGCACGGTGACCTAGTGACAGTCACTGTCCTTGATTTAGGGAGTCAGAAAGATCTGTTTCTGGCTTTCAGGTCAGCTGCTTTCCAGGTGTGTGACCTTGGCCAAATTTCAAGCAGTCTTATCTGCAGAGTTATCAGCCAAGCAATGAGAGGGCCATTGTTTGCTTCAGTGGGTTCAATGAAACAACCCTACCTGGTGGAAAGATTTCCATTGCGAGATGATGGCATTTCCGATGCAAAGTGCTAGGCATTTAGTATGTTATTTTCTGTCACTGCTTTTGTTATATTAATAATGCACATCCTATGTGAGCACAGGATGCAGAAGCTGAAATCAGACAAAATTCCCTCCCCGGATAGCTATGTGGCTCGTGAAAAATAAGCCCTAATTGGAATTATTGTCTGAGTAGGCAGGAATTTCTCTGTGATCGTTGGTCTAGGCAACAATAGGCAGTGTGTTGGGTGGAATGGGAAATAAAATTGGAAATCCTGAGGCGATTCTGAAAACACTTACCGTCTTAGTTTGTGAGACACTGGAACTTAGTGAACTTTCTTTGTACCTTAGTTTGAATCCAGCTTGGACTGGAGTGAGTCTTCCTGGGCTTGTCATGTAAGCCAATTTCACAGCTCTCTTTGAAGAGTCCTGGGAGTTGCAGGTGCCTTGTGTAGGAGCGTGGCCGTGAGCCAGACTAACTGGGAACACTGTCCTGAGTGCTTGGGGGATAAGGGGTTTATGATCAGCCTTCCGGACAGATCTGCATGACCTCTCGTTCGTAGTATTCCCTTCCTGTGCCGGTACCTCAATGAACAAGCCTTGTGCCTGTCTCTTTCACAGTATCGGGGATGGGGCTTTGTTCCGAGAGAGGCGCAGTGCGAGATCAGACTGAGGCGGAGCACAGGCTGGTGGAGGCCCCCGACCCTCTGTGTCGCAGCCCCCTCTGCAACCTGGGCTGTAACACTGCCCAGCAACTGGCCAGTCTCGAGAGGCTGCCAGTGCAGGACCGAGGTCGGTGCTCCACGCATTGAGCGCTCTTGTAGTTGTTCTGCATTTTCATTACTGATGAGCTCATCTTTGACAACACTTTCTTCTTTGGAGTATTTAGTAATTTATGCAAGGTTTACTTTTTTAAAAAATTTATTTAAGTTATTTTTAGAGAGAGGGACAGGGAAGGAGAAAGGGAGAGAAACATCAATGTGTGTGGGTTGCCTCTTGCACGCCCCCTACTGGGGACCTGGCCTGCAACCCAGGTTACCACAAGGGCGCAAGGTTTATATTTGAAAGTAAAAAAATAATAATAAATAAAATAAATAAATAAATATATATATATATCTCCAAGAGATCATAAATGTTGAGTGCTAAGTGTGACTCATTTCCTTTGCTTGGTTGATGCTTTTTTTTTTAATACAGTTCAACATGGACCGTGTTAACGTCGAAGAGTTCTACGAGGTGTACAAAGGGGTGGTGTCTGAGTATAATGTGAGTATCCAAGTTGGTGGGGGGCCTTGGCACTGAGCACAGTGTGCGTGTCTCACACCTTGGGGACCTCGGCGTCGTCCTGAATCATGAAAGTGCTCCTTAAAGCGTGCGGGGCTCTGCCAGTTGCCAGCCGATGACACCCAGTGACTGAGGCATTCTTACCCCCAAGAGCCACTGGCCTGGTTTTAAAAATATGATATTGTTTCATTTATGAAACAAATCCACAGGAGTGGGGGGGGGACTGACTGGGATATTGATACATTTTGGCATTGGCTGGTGTGCAGACGCTGCCTCCTCATTCGCCCCCAGGTCCCGCATATCATTTGCCTCAATCCGCAGATTTCTGTCTCTCAAAACTCACGGCAGCCAGCTGGCAGCTCCCTGGACTCGTTCCCCTTTCCCCCTTCTTATGGAGACTGACGCGAGGTCCAGATCCTAACCCGCCAGTGTGTGGCCACTTGATTTCCCTTGTCTGAGCCTCAGTCTGCCTGTCTTCAAAATGGAAATAATGCTGTTCCCCAGCCCATGAGAGTGTTATACTAATCAGATGAAGAAGAGCAGGCTGACGTACTGAGAATACTAAGTACACTTAGCTGTTTCCTTATTGTCATTTATTGTTATCATTATTCTGCCTGACACAATTCTTTGCAGTAGAGTCGCTGTTGGTCACGTGCAGTTACACCCGCTGCGTCGGCATTTGCAGTCATATGAAGGTGGTAATTGCTGTCTCCCGGGGTTACCATGGCCTGCTTTTTAAGGAGCGTGTGCTTTTCACGGAGTCCTTTCTTCCACATTTTTTTCTCTGCATCCCATGTGGTCCTGTGTCTGCATTTTGAACCCTGTTTGGTGTCAGCACTGAAAGAAAAGGTTCTGGCAGGATTGGATTGGCCCCTCTCTCCCTGGGTCGCGGGTCCACGCTCCTACCCCTGCTGAGGAGTTGGCTCTTGACATTCAAGTGCGGGCAGCACTTCAGCAGCATGCGACGGAAAATCAGACTCCACATAATTATCCATAAAAACAGTTACTCGTGGCCTTTGTGAGACAGCAGAGTGACTTCAGGGGATACAGCTGGGGACCCTAGTGAGCAGGGTTCTGGGGACATGCCGTGACCTCCTCTCCCTCCGCTTTTAACTTCCGCCGTTTCTGTTGGGCACGATGACTAAGGCCAGATCAACATTTCAATATCGTCTGCAATAAATGACCTTTATTTCACTTTGGCACCGTGTATGCTGAGCCCGGCAAAGTCATTACCATGGCTTCCTCGTCCCTTTGTGGTCTGGCCTCACTCAGCTCCTGGTGCCCTGGCTCCTTGGTGGGCCTCACACCCCGAGCAGAACTTCTGCCTCCAAGTCTGCTGATGCCCCAGAGACGGTCTGAGGGCTGAGCGCACAACCGGGGACACGAGCCCCCCCAGCTCTGTGCTGTCTCTGAGTCCTTCCACGTTCCAGGCTCGTGACGCTTTCTCTCGGCCTTGGTTGTGTCCTCCACACACACACGGACCGTCAGCCTCTGCAGGTCCCCGTGGGCCCCTCTCTGCAGCTCCCACCCCCAGCAGCGTCCCGTCCTGCCAGGTCCAACTGCGCTGGCCTCCACGAGCCCAGCCTTTGTCTCCTGTGCTCAGGGGGCGCCCTGGGCTCTGTGCGCGTCCTCCCCCACCCACTGTCTGGAAAAGGCCCGCGGTCAGTGAGCCGGGGCGGGCTGTGTGGCTACCCTTGCTCCGTCCCCTCCTCTTGGACCGCAGTCCTCTTCCCCCTGTTATCAGGGTCTGAAGACGTGGGTTTCATATCCATCCTCTGGCTTCTAGATGTTCAATGGGAGAGAGTAGACCTGGCCCGTGTTATCACTCGTTGCTGGAAGTCACTGTGATTTTCGAACGTGTCCTTGGAAGGAACGCTTTGGAGTTTACATCCTTAGAGACGGGTGTTGGGCAGCAGCGTGTCTGACAGGAAGCCATGATGGAAGGTCGTTTCAGGGGTGCACCCAGAGGGTGGCAGCCGTGGGCACGGAGAGAGCAGGGAACAGACGTTTTCATGGGAAACGTGGACAAAACTGGGCAACTGCTTGGCATGCGGGGTACAGGTGGGGAAGAAGTCAGAGGTAACTTTAACATTTGGAGGCTGGCAGAACAGTGGTGCAATTAGAAGAGGAGCAAACAATTGTTAAGTTACATTAATTTTGAGTGGTTATGTTGCATATTGCAGGAGATGGTGACAGAAATGTATTCCGGCCCCTGCGTAGCAATGGAGATTCAACAAACTAACCCTACAAAGACATTTCGAGAATTCTGTGGACCTGCCGATCCTGTGAGTTATTGTTTAAATAGTAATCAAGGTTATTTTATTCATTAACTAAATATCTAAACTGGTTTGATAGTTTTACTTTACTCTTTAAAAGAAATAGTACAAATATGAACATAACAGACAAAACTTTTTATTCAAAATAGCATTTCAAAATCATTTATTTCTTGTGTACTATACTCTAAGAAAAAGTGAATTTTATTGGACTGGGCAGGAGCATTTACTGTGGCATTTCCTTTTATTGTTCCTTCTTGCTAAGCTGTCTGGGTAAGTAAACGTATCGAGCTTTGTGATGGAAACCATCTGAGGTATTAGTGATCCTTTGACACAAGGAGGCCGTCGTGACGCTCTCAATGTGAAGACTGTCGATGTGGTGGCCTGACTCCAGACCCGTAAATAAATGCGAGCAGTGGCCCTGGGTGACACTTGATATTCTCTAGGGTACCTTTCGGTCGTCCTGGGCTGTCTCCACGTGGACATTCAGTGGCGAGGCTCAGAGAGGGGCTGAGAAGCAGGAGTCGCGTTCGAACACTCGAGAGAAATCCCCACGCAAATGCTGCCAGCCGGGCGGGACCGAGGGAGGTGCTACTGATTTTTAAATGACAGTTGAAATCGAAGGGTTCTCTGTCTTCCATTTCACTATCACTCGTAAATAGACACGAGAGAAGCGTGGCCATGAGCAAACAGGATGTCTGCTTGTCCAGTGGCAGCTGGAACGGGCCCTCAGGGGGCTATGCTCACGGCCCTGCCGGGCGGCCCGGGCACGGCCCGCAGGTGCCAGTGCGAGTGGAGGGTCACGGGAATTTCCGTGAGTGCGTGAGTTTGCAGACGTGGCCTCCCCGAGTAATGAGAGTCGACCGGGTCTTCTACATCTTCTCCCAAGTTGCGGTGACATTTATAAACAAAAAAATAAACTTTATAAAAAGAATTGGCAATGCCTGCCTAATAAAATATCCTGGCTAAAGCAAATAGTTTGTCTTGAAGAGTAGATGGCTATAAAGGTTTGATGCAGTTAGTTTGAAGTACGAAGTACATCCTAAAAAATTCTTGCATTTCAGAGTAGCCGTTGGTCTTAGGTTTCATTTGCTTTGGTGTTAAGTAACATGAAGCCCCAAAACTTGACAAAGATGATAGCAGCTCCCTCTGTGATGATGAAAGATGAAACAGTGTGACCGAGTAAGAGTAACAGGCAGTTGACATTAAACTGCTGAATAACACAGCGTTCTGTGATGATGTTCCGTGACAAGTCGAACAGCTGTTCTCAGATACAAGACCACTGGTTCAACAGTAACGTTCTCCCAGGAAGGCGGGAGATGTGATTCAAATGATCGAGGAAGATTTTTGGAATTTTATGTGTCCTCTTCTGGCAGCGTATACTTTTTTCAGCCACATTAACTCACAGTGAAAACCTCTCTCTCTGTTGTTCCAGGCATCGAGTCTCAGAACTTGGATTCGAACCTGTGTCTGGTTGTTTTCTAAGTTCCTGTGATGATTATGGTTAATCGTCACGGCATACTGTCTTATTACACGTCTGTGTGACCCCGTGCCGATAATACCGGGGCCTAAAGCATGTACAAAGCAAACGACTTTTGAAAAGTAGATATTAAACTACTTTTCTCTTTACACAGTTTAAAACTAGACATTATGTAACCTGTTTATGAGTGACTTAGCTAGACTGACCCAAAAGCCACAATATAAATGAACTTTTACTTCATACCGCGTATGTCAGTTACTTTTATTGTGGGTAGATTGGCCAAACCTGAGGAAACCTCACACCTGTCGGAGTGCCAGCACCCAAAGGACAGAAAGCAGCACACGCCGCCGGGGGTGTGAGAGAGGGCCCCTTGCACACTGGGGGGGGAGGGCAGACTGGTGCGGCCACAGAAAAGGGGGACGTGGTGCCACCTGTGACGGCATGGTCTGCCCTGGAGGGAACTGCGCTCAGTCAGGAAGAGAGACAAATGCCGTGTGATCTCATGGACAGGTGGGGTCTGAAGACCAAACGGAAACCAAACCAAACGAACAGAGAACAGACTGGGAGTTTCCAGAGCGGGAGGGGGGAGGGAGTGGGTGAATGGAAAACCTGGGCAAAAGGTACAAGCTTTTCGTTATCAAATGCCCCAGTCCCGGGGGCATCGCCTGCAGCAGGGTGACTAGTGAACAATACGCTATTGTGTCTTTGAAAGTTGCTAGGAGATTGGATTTGAAAAGTTCTCATCACACACACAAAAATGTAACTGTGGTGATGAATGTTAACTAGACTCACCGTGGTGATCATTGTATCAAATCACCCGAAACTCGTATAATGTTGTATGTCAGTTATACCTCAGTTTAAAAAAAAAAAAGAAGTGAGACACAACTGGGTTTAGACAAATACAAAACTATCAGTAGAAAGAGAAAGATGAGCTACAGAACACACATTTCATTCTCTCTCTCCCAGCCTGTCTCTCTCTCATACACACGCGCGCACACACACACACACGCACAGAAAAGAATTGTCATAGCTGGTTTAAACAAGACCTTGGATCTTTGACGATTTTATCAGGGCATAGAATTAAAAAGCCAGTACTTATTAACCCTCCAAAGGAAAACAAAAAAGAAGAATGATTTTTTTCTGGAGGATCTGAAACCACCACCGAGAGGACACCGAGACAGCAAGGTGGGAACGCAGCTTTCCTCACCTGGGCGGCGACGCCCGATCATCCGCAGGGGAGGCAGAGCTGCTGACGCGGAATCGTTTTTCGCATTGGTATTTTCTCGCCGCGCTTAGGAGGCAGCATTCGGGCCGTTCTCCAGGTTAGGCCATGCACTTCGAGAATGAAGATGCGCATTGTTGCTCTAGTTATATAATTACATATGGTTTACGTATTTTTTTCCAGTGTCGTGGAGAATGCAGAGAAGTCTCCTTTGTGGGTGAAAGTTCCAGAGGTTTGCTGTGGGTAGGTTAGGGTTTGCTAGAAATAAAGTTGACTTGGACAGATCATTGTCCTCACACCTCCGCTCTCGTTGGACGGGGGTTTATTTCGTTCCGTTCCGCCGAAATGATCGCCTGCTCTGTGGGCGCAGGTACTGAGCATTGGAGGACTGGCGTTGGCTCTGCTCGCAGAACTGGAGGTCTGATGAGGAATGTGCAGTCAAACCAACGATTACATGAGTTCGTGTGTGTTTCAGCCATGGCGGTGCCAAACCAACGATTACATGAGTTCGTGTGTGTTTCAGCCATGGTGGTGCCGGCAGAGCCGGCTCCTGGCTGAGCAAGGGCTTAGAACAGGCGGCCCTGGGGTTGGCTGCAGTGCGGGCAGGCCCGGGATTCTCGTCCGTTCTCAGATCTGAGGGACAGGGCAGCGCATGGGCAGCCTCACGGCTGGGGGGAGCCCAGCACCTTCTGGGACTTCAGAGAAGTCCAGCCGGGCTCTCGCTTCCGGCGCAGAGGGGAGGGCGGCCTGGAGGGCCACCAGAGAGAGTTCAGGGCAGGCAGTGAGGGCCGCGTCCCCCGACCAGCGAGTGAGATGCAAGTGTGGGGGGGGGTTCCGTGGAAAAGCTGGAACGAAGGATGGATGTGACTGAATTTGTTTCAGAAGGCCACTGTGTGGTGGTCTTTTCCGGGTGGAAAACCGCTCGGACCTGAGTACAGTGAGCCTGACTGCAGACGATGAGCCCGAGCGGATGGCCGCCACTGGGCTCGGCAGAGGAAGGTGGGGGGGGGACGGATTCTGGAAGGCAAGCTGGCAGAGCTCGGTGACTCGGGTGTGGGCGGGAGCAGCGGAGGGGTTCAGCGACTCCAGATAAACGAATTCGTGGTAGAACAGACTGTTAAACTTTGGAAGGAATACAGCGACAGTGATTAAAATGCCAAAGCCTCTTTAATTGTAGTCATTGTTTAGCTGTTCTTCCTGAGCTACTGATTTAAGTGGTGGGTACATAGACATTGCTTTTATTCCCAGAAGTAGAAATTAGAAATAGAAAAAAAAAACCCTTCAATCTTGAGTTTAAACTGTGTTGCTTAGGCACCCATCAGCTTTCAGGAAGTTTGGGACCTTGGCCTTGGTAGGAAGTCCTTGAGCGTGTCTCCCGCTTGTTCTTGAAGAAAGCGGTCTGGCCGCCGTGGGTCCTCCCTCCCTCGGGTCCTTCAGCGTTCGCTGTGATTCGGAGACTCTTCGTGAACCCAGGCTTCGTGAAAACAGAGACGCTGCCTGCCGCCCCGCTGGCACAGCAGGTGCTGTTTCTCGTCAGTTCTGCTTTGGGGATGAGGAAGTGGGTGGAATTAGTTGATTGGGGCCCTAAAACAGATGGTCTCTGAAAAAAACATTCTTTAAAACCTCACCGAGTTGAAATCCAGCTAATACTATTTTTTCTCCCAAATCTGTAACTCTGCGGGTATCTTTTTACTACTTGCTGTCTCCTACAAACGCAGTCCAACCCATTACAGGTTATCTTTAGAAGCTGCGTGGGGTTGTGCCCGGGTTTGGCCTTTAAACCTTCCTATTAAATACCGTAATTTGCGCGGGATTGTGACACTTACTGACATGTCACATCCAATCTTGCACAAAATGCAAATGAAATGCTGGTTCACTCTCTAATGACATCGCCTCCCTAGTTTCAAAGCTACGGGAGTGACTAGAATGGAACCGCAGCTTCCCCTCCTTCTGGGAGGTCCCACTACCATCCTGGTTAAACGTGACTGTGAACGCGGGCAGTTCGCGCTTGCTGCAGAGGTGCCCCCCAGCAACCTCGACTCCAGGCATGTCTTTCCACCTCTCTGAGACACTCCACCAGCCAACCCACCACGCGACCAAACACTGACAGACCGTCCAGGTGCCTGGTCTGGTGGGCGTGGGCAGTGAGAGGGTGGAGGACCCACCTTCCCTGAGCCTGCTGAGGGGCGTAGATCCTGATGGAAGGGAATCGGTAATTCCAGTGAGGTTCTGTAATTGCCATGGTGAACATATGTATCAAATGGGCAAAAAAAAAAATTACTGTCAAAGAAGACTGAGACATGGAGAGTT